ATGTACCAAAGTGTGATCATTTGAAAGTAAAACATCTAAAAACTGGAAGTGGTATCAGCAGCAAACAACAACAAAAAAGGGGAACATGTGCACATCAACCCCCAACTAGGGTCCAAGTATGGGACAGAAAACAGCAACAAAGGAAAAGAAGAGACCGTCTGCCTGCTTTGTCTGACTTTCTAAATACAACTTAGTTCTGTTCACATCAGTGTTTCCCTGATGAAGGCCTCATGGATCACAACGCTGCAGAAATAAAGGCTTTGGAGATTAGAAATTACACTGTAGGCAGCCATAACATAATATTGGTAGGGCATTAATAATGCATAATATCTGAACACTTCAGGCTGATTTAAATGATTTTGAAATGTTACTGCACTACTTTCTGGTTAATTAAGATTATTTTAATCCTGAATTAAATCATTTTATATCTTTAGTTTCTGGCCTGTTATCTCAACCAAACAACACTTTAACATGCAGTGTCATATAAATGAATTAACTATACTAGTTTAGTCCTCTCTAAAATCAGATTATTTCAGAACCCTGCTTATCCAAACAAACACTGATCACTGCTAAATTGAGGTGGTACAGCTTATACAAAATAGAATCGAATTAGGATTTTGAGTTTTATTTAACCAATTTAAACCACTAAAATTTGACTCACTACACTTGAAAATGTCAAATTGTCATTGTAACACATCATATTGTGCTTGAACACTTTTGTCCAAATGAGCTAAAACATGTTAATCAGTGAGCTTCAGAGGTCCTGGTAGGTGGTTTGTGTTACCTTGTTACTAGTGTCAATTAACTGGCTTCTAGTAATTGACATCATATTTACCATAGTGTGTAATGTTAATCTTCTCATTCAACTGCCAGCAAGAAAGCAAAATATTATGGGTGGTCAGAAATCAACAGTGATCAGGCACAGTAAGCTACTTCACAAGGCCTGATACATCATTCTGTGTATTTATGAGAGCGAGGGTTATTATTACCTGGTATGGCTGGTAGCCTGAATGATCCGACAGGAAGTCCAGCTGTCGGTCTGACAAGAATTCCACCGCTGTTACTGACGACAACAGGCTCTTCCCCACCACTGGCTTAAACGCCTGTACACACAAAACACACAACATGGTCAGCAACAACAGAGTACCATAATATCAGCAGGGCAGCTGTTTCTATGAGTAATCAGATGAAAACATCACATATGAATCTATTAGAATTCACCAACTCTACAATAAATATACAATAAACAACAATACATGTATAATTTATTTTGGAGACAGAACACTACATTGAATGTCAGGGAATTGAGGCAGAGGAAACAGGAATAAAAGAATAGAGATGAATGACAGAGCAGCATAAAAGATTAGAGGGAGGAAAACCAAAGGCAGAAACATGATGAAGAGAGAAAGATGGAGGGGAAAGCGACAGGGCAAGAGATAGGAGAGCTCCAGAGCGATGAATAAATTAATGAGTAAAGGAAGTCTGACAGTTCAAAGGCAGGATCCTCTACTTTGATGGTGCCTCTTTTACACAAACTGATGTCTGAGCTGTTCCTGCACATACAGCACAGAGACCAGGCTGCGCTGCTTTTCATGCTTCCTCTTTATATCGGTGTGTACTGATGCAAATGTAGTACAGTCACACTATTTACAGCTATTCACCACTGTGAGGAAGTTGTCCTTACTACCACACCACATCACATCACTTACGTTCTATTTCAGTGCTTGATGTCAGTCAATGGGTCAAAAAACAATTGAGAAATCTAGCTAAAGAGAAGAGCCACAGCAGCAGGGAAATATACACGTGTCCGTGTGTAGCAGGCGTTGGCGCTGCTGTGATTTTATGGTTACATAACAAGATCAGTCTGATAGAGAGCTGAAACATTAGAGATGAGAAACATGTGCCCCTTACAGACACGCGCACACACACCCACCCACCCACAGGAGACAGGAGCACATTGTGAGTGTAAGCAAAACATGATAGCATGTGTCTGCAGCTCTATTTCTGTCTCTCTATACATATCACATTTCCAGGGTACAGTGCCGGCATGCAGCTGGCAGCACAGACCACACTGTCGGCCATTATTGTAGACATGATTGGTATTTATATCAAAGTGTCACTTTTGGTCACCTCTGGCACAGCACCAGCATCCTGTTCTGGATCATCATTAGGACACCCTACTGAGTGAGCATGTTAACATGCACACTGATATCCCAGTTCAGATCATATTCAGGGCATGATGTTTGTATGAGTGACATGGCTATTCATCTCCCTGCACACACATCTAATGATGATGTTCATGCATTTCTAATGCTCGTTCAAAGCAAGGTTGTTGCACCAATTTTCTGCCTTAATGTTCTGAAAAAGGTGCTGGAGACGGGTGGGGGTCAGTGTTGACCCTACTTTATTCCACCATGAGAGGTAGTAAAATTAGTGCACCCATTCCACGTAGGCCTCTGTGTGAAATGGGGGAGGCAGCAGCATGTGTGTTTTTTTTTTTTGTAGCTTTAATAAATTTTTTTGTGTGTAAATAGGCAATGCCACAATAAAGACTAGCCAGTTTAATGCAGATGTTGTAGAATGTGTGTAAAAGAGGCTTAACATGGAAATTTAAAGTCGTTTTAAGAAATATGGCTTATCTTTATATTGCTATGCTGATGTCAAATTTACCTGCCTGTGACTGGGAACAAGAGTCTCTCATTACTAACTGTATCTAACGGTAACTGCCTGAGAGCTAAAAACATGGTGTCACTAAACGTCCTATACATTAATGAAATGAGTTGGGGTGTTTTTTGTAAGGGTGAACATGGACCAATGGTGGCCCATCTGAATTCTCAGGTAAAAAGCTTGGTGTGTTAGTTGATAGTGTGCATAAGATGAAAATACTGGTCAATTCAGTGGTCAAAACAAGCTCCTTTCAGCTGAGATCATGAGCCAAGGTCAAGACCTTTCTATCATTCAACAACTCTGAAAAGGTCATTTTTAATTAGCTCAAGGCCTGACAACTGTAATGCCCTGTATGTTAAGATCTCTCAAACATTCCCTGTCCTGTCTTCATTTGGTCCAAAATGCAGCTGCTCGTCTTTTGATTACAAGCAAGCGTGAGCACATAGTAACCCTTATTCTGGTTTCCCTTCATTGGCTCCCCAGTCTGCCGCCCGTCTGTCTTTCACTCTCTTATAAAAATTTATTTATTCAAGCAAGCATTTAACACTGGCACAGACAAAGGCAATTGTATGCCCATCTATTATCTATTATCTTCCTGTGATTTTTATGTAGTGATTTGCCTATTTGTTTTGTTTAGTGCTACATGTTGTTGCACCTGTTTTATTATGTTGTCATTTTACTGTGAAGCACTTTGTAACCTAGGTTTAGAAAGTTGTTCTATAAAATAAACCTTGGCTTTGTTTTACCAGAACTACAGAAGCTACCACACTCACACTAAACCTTTGTCATCCAGGAGGCCAGAAGATCAGAAAAAGAGAGAAACACAAACAAACAGTGTGAAAGCCATATCTATAAACCAGTTTGGATGTACATCATTTGTACATTGATGCAACACCACAAGAATTTATTGAGACATATGACAAATAAAGAAAGAGGTAGAAAGCTTTTTCTTTGCTGCTTGATGTCATCACATGCAGTCTACCATTAGGGTGACCTGGGTGCACACCCCAGGCTGAGGATGCCAGAGACTCAGGAGGATTATATTGCAGGATTAACTAATGCAGATAGAACAACCATCACTTATTAACATGTGAATATTACATGTACAGTATAATCAAACTGTCATTAAAGAAAAGCTTATTTTAAAAATGGCAGTGAGTGGTCTATTGATCAGTATGAGGTGCCAGACAGCAAAAGGAGGTATTTACAGTATTTAGTGCAATTCACACAGATTCAGAGTCAGTGTCTTCTTCTAGGCTATCATGTTACGCTACACCAGCGTAACATGATAATGTTTGGTGGAAAGTGTTCACCAAGCAAAGCACAAGAGACATGACATTGTTATATTTTCTAATATTTGGAGCCGAAATATGCTCAAAACATGCTGTCAAAGACTTCTGTGAGCCACACTCAATGGACAGGCTGACAGTGGTGCAGAAATATTCTGTTCTAAAGTTTCTGTGCAAGGGTTAAACTTCTAACCAAACTAAAGTTAATCAATGTGTGAATATGTTTCTGGTCTACTGCTTCTCTCACACTGAGCCTTTAAGCTAGTATTAGCTGCTCAAAGATGTTTCTATGTCTGACTCACAGGCTAGCAAGCTCCTGATTGTTGCACTAGCTGAGACATCAAACACAACAAGGATGCAGGTGACGGGCTGGGTAGAGAGGCAAGAGGTCTACATGCTGCACAAGGCTTTGTGGGAGTTGCCACTACACTCCGGCACCGCAGACGCCATGAAATTGTAGATTATGAGGAAGAGGAGGAGTTGTTTTGTTTGTGGTATTTACTGTGAACTGAGAAACCAAGAGGATGATCTGTTTGTCCTCTAAGCAGACACAGAGAGAAGATGGAGAGTTGATAGAGATGGACAGCTCAAGCAAGCATGCAAGCAAGAAGAAGTGTATTTATATAGCATGTTCTAAACCAAAGTTAAAGTGCTAACCCTGATGACTGTCTGCTAAATGTCCTCTATGTCTTTGTCTATGATTTCTGAATGCTGATGGTATTAGCATATAAAAGCCAACAGATACTGTATCTCAAAACGATCAGATAAACGGAAACAGCCATCAACACATGCCATGTTCAGAGCTGAGCAATTTCCCCTATGATTATAAATCAGACTCTGCAAATACATCATGTACTGAGACATGATATGAATAACCACAAACTCTGGGAAATACAGTTATAACCTCTGCTGACTATAACACAGTGTCAAATGCAGTGTAGGCTTGTGATCCCAGAATACGGTTTGATGGCAATTTGATTGCTGTTGTCATTGATGTAGCACAGGGTAATGGAAACGTTTGTCACAGAGACATTCATCTGAAGTAACATTCAACACAGCAGGACTTAAAAACGAGCTGACAAATGAAAACAAATTAATAAACCAGAACAGACACGATCATACTGATTCAGATTAAGACTGAGGTGTTAATCAAATTATTATTTAGCTATTTCTTCTAGAATACCTCCAATAACCCTGTCTACTCTACAACATACACTACGAAGTATTAAAGCTAGAATCGTTGAAAGCTGTGGTATTGATTACATGCTTTTGTAGTAGGCAAGTAGTAAGGTGGTAAAGAAACGACCGTTAGACTATAATGCTCATGTTTTCTTCAGAGAGCTACAGGCTACACACTCCACCACACACACACACACACACACACACACACACACACTGCATGTTGACTTCTATGATAGAATAGATCACAACGACTATTCTATTCTGGGAAATGTCCACAGTTCTGAGGTAGTTTGTTACATCAGTCCATTCAGTCTGATAGTATAGATCAAATTCTACTCTGGTTTTAAATTAAACCACCAATGCCTCTTAAAAGAAAAAACAACTGAACATGAGGAAGAGCAGAGGATGTCAAACTGTAACATTACCTCTCTTCGTCTCCAAAAAAACGTCAAGGAGCAATGGCTCTGAAGAAAAACACTTGACAAAACTAGCTTTGATCCAGCGAGCAGAGGAGAAACAGGAAGAAAAGAAAAGAAAGCATGAAGGGGTACAAAACAGAGAAAAAGAAAGAAAAAGCGAGGGAGTGTGGTTTCCTCTTGCGGTAAGAAAAGACAGATGGCCAAGAGAGAGAGAAAGCAGAGCAGAGGACGAGCTACACAGCCGACATTTTAACTGCTGCTGACGCAAAGAGGGGGAGACAGAAGAAAGGGAGGGACAGCGGCAGGGCTGGTCGACACACACTTCCCCTCTCTCTCTGCGTCTGTGACGCAGGCACGCTCTCTTGTTACTTACTGGGCTATCTGAATTGCTCTCTTTCACTATCTCTCACTTGTCTCTTCCTCAATCCGTCTCCCCCGCTCATATCAGTTCAATTCAGCTTTGCTGTCATTTTCTTACACATATACAAACACCTCTGTATTAGGCCGACGTAGCAGTAAAGGAAAGACTGCAGTACTGTTAACTGA